TTATGTTTGGATGCACTGCAAAAGTGTTTGGACACACTCTAAAGTTTGGACGCACTCTAAACGTGTTTCGATGCTCTTTAAGTATATTTCGATGCATTCTAAACATGTTTGGATGCACTCTAAGTATGTTTCGATGCACTCTAAACATGTTTTGACGCACTCTAAACATGTTAGGATGCACTCTAAACTTGTTAAGACGAACTCTAAACATGTTTCGACGCACTCTAAAAATGTTTCGACGCACTCTAAACATGTTTGGATGCACTCTAAACGTGTTTAGACGAACTCTAAACATGTTTCGACGCACTCTAAATATGTTTCGACGCACTCTAAAAATGTTTTAATGCACTCTAAACATGTTTGGATGCACTCTTATTATGTTTCGACGCACTCTAAACATGTTCGGACGAGCTCTAAACATCTTTTGTTGCACTCTAAACATGTTTCGACATACTCTAAACATGTTTTGACGCACTTTAAAAATGTTTCGATGCACTCTAAATATGCTTCGACGAGCTCTAAACATCTTTTGTTGCACTCTAAACATGTTTCGATGCACTCTAAACATGTTTTGACGAACTCTAAACACCTTTTGTTGCACTCTAAACATGTTTCAACGCACTCTAAACATGTTAGGACGCACTCTAAACGTGTTTCGACGCATTCTAAATGCATTTGGACGCACTCTAAACTCGTTTGGATGCACTCTAAGTATGTTTTGACGCACTCTAAACATGTTTGAATGCACTCTAAATGTGTTTGGACGTACTCTAAACGTGTTTTAGGACACGCAAAATCTGTTTACACGAACTTTAAATGTGTTTCAATGCACTCTAAATATGTTTCGACGCACTCTAAAAATGTTTTAATGTACTCTAAAAATGTTTTAATGCAGTCTAAACATATTTGGATGCACTCTAAACATGTTTCGACACACTCTAAATATGTTTCGACGCACTCTAAACATGTTAGGATGCACTCTAAACATGTTTAGACGAACTCTAATCATGTTTCGACGCACTCTAAATATATTTCGACGCACTCTAAAAATGTTTTAATGCACTCTAAACATGTTTGGATGCACTCTTATTATGTTTCGACGCACTCTAAAAATGTTTCGACGAACTCTAAACATCTTTTGTTGCACTCTAAACATATTTCGACGCACTCTAAACATGTTTGGCGCACTCTAAAAATGTTTCGATGCACTCTAAACATGTTTGGATGCACTGCAAAAGTGTTTGGACATACTCTAAACATGTTTGGACGCACTCTATACGTGTTTCGATGCTATTTAAATATATTTCGACGCACTCTAAACATGTTTGGATGCACTCTAAGTATGTTTCGACACACTCTAAACATGTTAGGATGCACTGTAAACTTGTTTAGACGAACTCTAAACATGTTTCGACGCACTCTAAAAATGTTTTAATGCGCTCTAAACATGTTTGGATACACTCTTATTATGTTTCGACGCACTCTAAACATGTTCGGACGAACTCTAAACATCTTTTGTTGCATTCAACATGTTTCGACATACTCTAAACATGTTTTGACGCACTTGAAAAATGTTTCGATGCACTCTAAATATGTTTCGACGAGCTCTAAACATCTTTTGTTGCACTCTAAACATGTTTCGATGCACTCTAAACATGTTTCGACGAACTCTAAGCACCTTTTGTTGCACTCTAAACATGTTTCAACGCACTCTAAATGATGAGGACATCGAAAGCAACATGGATCGCGTCGTCTTGCCGGATGGACCAATGATGAGATCAAAAGCGAGGAAATTTCAAGCTGCTCTAAACGGGCTCTTTCCTGACTGTTTGGGCCAAGAACACATGGAAAATGACATTGGATTAAGTCACACACAAGTCCAGCCCATTTGCAACATGATATCAAGTGTAGAAAGCCCAAAATGAAGGCCCAAATGTTGCAGCCCAATTCCATGACGAAAATGCCAAACAAATTCTGCTAATTCAAGTCTTCAAGCCTTTAATGTTGCTTCCAATCTACTCAAGTCAAAGTCCAACACAATTATGGCTTTGTTTTTCCAATAATTCCAAAGTTTTAGGAAGACTAGCACTTATTGTAGTTTTCTTATGTCTTTTGGTATTGTCTTGGCTCCTATAAATAGGTGAACTAAACTCATTTGTAAACACAGATTTCATCAATCAAACTTGTGAGAGTATTCTCTTTTAGTTCTTTGTGAACTATTTTCGAACTTATCGGATTTCTATCCGTGGCGTTCACCCGGCTTATCAAACGGACAGTCATAACCGTTTGTGGCGCCTTCGCATACCAAGGTTGCTAATCACGGCGTTAGGTCTAGGTCGCGGCAGTCTTTAGACTTGTGCCAAGGTTGATTCCTACCGGTTGGTTAGAGGTCGCGGTCTCCACCCGCCTAGTTAGAGCAAAGGTCCTCGGTTCCACATTAGTTGGTATCAGAGCTCGACTCTAATCTAGGTTTTATCTATCCTTTATCTATTTCAACTTTCATTTCGTTTCATTCTATCATCTTCTTCCTACTCATCTATTTCTATTCCATTTTTGTTTTCAAGTTTTGCATTTCTGGAAAAGGTTTTTAAGAAAAAAAAAGAAAAAGAGAAAAGAAAAACGAGAAAAAAAAACAAATCAAAGAAAAAAAAAGAAGAAATCAAAAGAAAAAGAAAAAAAAAAGTATTGGATTTGCAATTCATAGTATTAAAAAAAAGTGTCATACGTTTCTTATTCTACTCTTTCTAGTCGGTTTTCAATCTTGTTGCATTTCTGCATCTTGTTGCACCTTCCTTCGTCGTTTTATTCCTTGGTTTCTCTTGGTGAACGATTGCGGAAAAGATTTTCGATCTCGTTTGTGATAGTTCGATAAGAACCATATAGAGAATACTAAAGAGGGGTAAAAGGCAAGAGAGTGTGAGATCATTAGAGGGTAAAAGCCAATTATTGAGTGAAACACTTCTTTGAGTGAAATACTTGAGTGTGGTGAGAATATTTTTCTTCTTCTTTCTTTCTCCTTATCTTCTTTTGCAGAAAACATGGCGGAACAACAAAATCGTAATCTAGACAATCAGCAACATGGAGAAGTGAATCCACTCCAAATGCAAGCATTGATGGGTGAGCTACGGAGGATCATGCGAGCTGAATTGGAGGGCATCAATCAAAGGATGGATCGAATGGAAAATGGGGCACATGCTGCACAAAACCAGCCACGACAAAATGCTGGACGAAGAGTTCAAAATGTTCCTAGTGATGGAGAAGGAGCATTGTCGGATGAAGAAGAATTAGTTGAGCAGCCCCAAAGGCCTAGACGTGCACAACGGGCAAGGAATCATGTTGATGATGACTTGGGGAGTATCAAGATGAAGATTCCGTCGTTTCAAGGGAGAAACGATCCTGAAGTGTACCTCGAATGGGAGAGGAAAACGGAGATGGTGTTTGAGTGTCACCGTTACTCAGAGTTGAAAAAGGTGAAAATGGCAGCCGCGGAATTCAGTGATTACGCTCTTGTTTGGTGGGACCAACTCGTAATCACAAGGAGGAGGAATGGTGAATATCCTATTATTACATGGGATGAAATGAAGGCTGTCATGAAAAGAAGGTTCGTTCCTAATCATTTCCATCGTGATATACACCAAAGGTTACGGAAATTGGTGCAGGGAAATCAAAGTGTGGAGGAGTACTTCAAGGAGATGGAGATACTCATGATTAGGGCCGATATCGAGGAAGATAGGGAAGCTACTTTGCAAAGATTCCTTGGTGGTTTGAATCAAGACATTCAAGATAGAGTGGAATTACAACATTATGTCGAAGTTGAAGAACTGTTGCATTTGGCTATCAAATGTGAGCGACAGCTCAAGAGGAGGGCAAATTCACGTCCAACTTATAGCAAAGGATCATCTAGCATGAGATCGAGCTTTGTTAAGGAGGAAAAGTATGCCCCTGGATCAAAACAAGAAACAAAGCCAACCACATCAAACCAAGGGAATCGAGGTAAACCTGAATCTTCTACTGCACGCAATCGAGATGTTAAATGCTATAAATGCTTGGGCAGGGGCCATTTTGCTAACGAATGTCCCAATAGAAGAGTTATGGTGTTGCGTGATGATGGTGAGATAGAAACGGAGGCAGAATGTGATACAGAATCTATGCCATCATTAAAGGATGATTTTGAAGAGCAACTTCCTGCCAAAGGAGAAGCATTGGTTATACGGAGAATCCTGAATCTGAAAGCCAAAGAAGAAGAGGTAGTACAGCGGGAGAACATTTTCTATACTCGATGCCTTATTCAAAACAAGGTATGTAGTGTGATTGTTGATGGGGGGAGCTGTACAAATGTTGCTAGTGCTACAATGGTGGAGAAGCTGAATCTACAACCGACAAAGCATCCTAAGCCCTATAGGTTGCAATGGTTGAATGATAGTGGAGAGGTGAAAGTTTCCAAGCAAGTAAGGGTTCCTTTTTGCATTAGAAAGTATGAAGATGAAATTCTCTGTGATGTAGTACCAATGCAGGCCAGCCATTTGTTGTTGGGGAGACCGTGGCAGTTCGATAGACGTGTGCAACATGATGGTTACAGCAACAAATACTCGTTCGAGTTTAAAGGTAGCAAAATCCGACTTGTTCCTTTAACTCCGAAGGAAATCTACGACGATCATATCAAGCAGGAAAACACAAATGCGTGGCAGCGATGTCTTGAGTGACCATGAGGTAGATCACCAAAATGGAGAGTTCTTGAGAAAAACCCAGAAACAGACCTTTGAGAGCAAACCCGAGAGGAAACAAAAGAATTTCTTCCTGAGAGCTTGTGAGATAAAAAAAGCTTTGTTTTCAAGTCAGCCAATCATTGTACTTCTGTACAAAGAGGCTCTTTCTAACTTGAATGATTTTTCATCATCTTTGCCAAGTGTTCTTCAAGATGTTTTGCAGGAGTACAAAGACGTCTTTCCCAAAGACATTCCCCGAGAATTACCGGCGATTCGTGGCATTGAGCATCAGATAGACTTTGTTCCGGGCGCTAGCATTCCGAATAAGCCGGCCTACAGAAGTAACCCCGAGGAAACGAAGGAACTTCGAAGACAAGTCAATGAGCTGCTGGACAAAGGGTATGTGAGGGAAAGTATGAGTCCATGTGCTGTTCCAGTTTTACTTGTGCCGAAAAAAGATGGAACTTGGAGGATGTGCGTTGATTGTCGAGCTATCAACAACATAACGGTAAAGTATCGTCACCCTATTCCGCGTTTAGATGATATGCTTGATGAATTGCATGGTTCTTGTATATTTTCTAAGATTGACCTCAGGAGTGGGTACCATCAAATCAGAATGCGTGAGGGTGATGAATGGAAAACTGCCTTTAAGACTAAGCATGGTTTATATGAATGGTTAGTGATGCCTTTTGGTTTAACTAATGCACCCAGCACTTTCATGCGATTAATGAATCATGTCTTGAGATCTTATATTGGACAGTTTGTTGTTGTATACTTTGATGACATCCTAATCTATAACAAAGGTTTGAATGAGCATGTTGAATACTTGAAACTTGTTTTGGATGTCCTGCGACAAGAGAAGCTATTTGCTAACCCAGAAAAGTGTACTTTCTGCAAGGATAAGCTTGTGTTTTTAGGTTTTGTGGTGAGTGCACAAGGAATTCAGGTTGATAAAGAAAAGGTGCAAGCCATCCGAGATTGGCCGAGTCCTAAAGGTGTTGGAGAAGTTCGAAGCTTTCATGGCTTAGCTAGCTTCTACAGGAGGTTCGTAAAGGACTTTAGCACAATCGCAGCCCCACTTACTGAAGTGATCAAGAAGAACCTTGGATTTCAATGGGGAACAGATCAACAACGCGCATTCGAGTTGTTAAAGGACAAGCTAACCAATTCTCCCTTATTAGCTTTGCCTAACTTTTCTAAAACGTTCGAAATTGAGTGTGATGCTTCAGGTGTCGGAATAGGAGCTGTTCTCATGCAAGAAGGACGACCAATTGCTTATTTCAGTGAGAAATTGAACGGAGCAACGTTGAACTACCCAACTTATGATAAAGAGCTTTACGCATTGGTTCGCGCTTTGCAAACATGGCAACATTACTTGTGGCCTAAGGAATTCGTGGTTCACACCGATCATGAATCTTTGAAGCATCTAAAAGGCCAACACAAGTTGAATAAAGGACATGCCAAGTGGGTAGAATTCATTGAGACATTTCCATATGTCATTCGGTATAAGCAAGGTAAGGAAAATATCGTTGCCGATGCGTTGTCAAGAAGGTACGTTTTGCTCTCTACTCTTGATGCTAAGATGCTGGTATTTGAACACATCAAGGAGCTTTATGCTAATGATCATGACTTTAAAGATGTCTATGAATCTTGTGCGATGACTGCTAGTGGAAAGTTCTTTAGGCACGAAGGCTACTTGTTTCGTGAAAATAAACTTTGTGTGCCTAATTGCTCCATGAGAGAATTGCTTGTTAGGGAAGCTCACGGTGGTGGATTAATGGGTCACTTCGGAATAACAAAAACACTTTCGGTTTTGAAGGAGCATTTCTTTTGGCCTCACATGAAAAGAGATGTCGAAAAGATCTGTAGTGGATGCATTACATGCAAAAAGGCCAAGTCCCGACTTCAACCGCATGGTATGTATACTCCTCTACCAATTCCTAGTGAGCCTTGGATCGACTTATCCATGGATTTTGTGCTTGAGTTGCCTAGGACAAGGACTGGTAAAGATTCGATTTTCGTTGTTGTGGATAGATTTTCAAAAATGGCACACTTCATTCCATGTCACAAAACCGATGATGCATCTAATATCGCTTCTTTGTTCTTTCGAGAAGTAGTTCGATTGCATGGAATGCCTAGGACTATAGTTTCTGACCGTGATGTCAAATTTTTGAGCTATTTTTGAAAAACGTTATGGTCAAAACTTGGGACTAAGTTGCTGTTCTCTACAACTTGCCATCCACAAACTGACGGACAAACTGAAGTTGTGAATCGTGTTCTATCATCACTCTTGCGTTCCATTGTGAAAAAGAATCTTAAAACTTGGGAAGAATGCATACCTCATGTCGAATTTGCTTACAACCGATCAGTTCACTCCACTACTCACTTTTCACCTTTCGAAATTGTTTACGGCTTTAATCCTTTGACTCCATTGGATTTGATTCCTTTGCCATTTTCTGAACATGCTAACCTTGATGGAAAAAGAAAAGCTGAGTTTGTTAAGCAGATTCATGAGACAGCCAAGTTGAACATAGAAAAGAAGACGGAGCAATATGCAAGACATGCCAACAAAGGAAGAAAGGAAGTGATTTTTGAACCTGGCGACTGGGTTTGGATTCATATGCGTAAGGAAAGATTCCCAAAGGAAAGAAAATCAAAGCTGATGCCTAGGGGAGTTGGACCGTGTGACAACCCAGAGTACCGTAGGAGGGCGGGGAGTGATCGCCGGTGCAGAGGCACGGACAAGGGGCGGCTCCTGACGAGCTTCTGGGTAGGGGGTACAGGGATGAATCGAACACACCGGAATGAGAGAGATCCGAGGGCTGTATAGGTATGGGACTATGCAATCTAAGATAACATAAAAAGAATTAGTTGGACTACTCATAGCAACAAGGTGCACCTACCTTTTTGTTGGATCAAGTCACACACAAGTCCAGCCCATTTGCAACATGATATCAAGTGTAGAAAGCCCAAAATGAAGGCCCAAATGTTGCAGCCCAAGTCCATGACGAAAATGCCAAACAAATTCTGCAAATTCAAGTCTTCAAGCCTTTAATGTTGCTTCCAATCTACTCAAGTCAAAGTCCAACACAATTATGGCTTTGTTTTTCCAATAATTCCAAAGTTTTAGGAAGACTAGCACTTATTGTAGTTTTCTTATGTCTTTTGGTATTTTCTTGGTTCTCCTATAAATAGGTGAACTAAACTCATTTGTAAAAACAGATCCTTGATCAATAAACTTGTAAGAGTATTCTCTTTTAGTTCTTTGTGAACTGTTTTGAAATTATCGGATTTCTATCCGTGGCGTTCACCCGACTTATCAAACGCACAGTCATAACCGTTTGTGGCGTCTTCACTATACCAAGGTTGCTAATCACGGTGTTAGGTCTAGGTCGAGGCAGTCTTTTAGACTTGTGTCAAGGTTGATTCCTACCGGTTGGTTAGAGGTCGCGGTCTCCACACGCCTAATTAGAGCAAAGGTCCTCGGTTCCGCATCACTAAACATGTTAGGATGCACTCTAAACGTGTTTCGACGCACTCTAAATGTATTTGGATGCACTCTAAAAATCTTTTAATGCACTCTAAACATATTTGGATTCACTTTAAACATGTTTCGAAGTACTCTAAATATGTTTGGACGCACTCTAAACATGTTTGGATGCACTCTTATTATGTTTCGATGCACTCTAAACATGTTTCGACGAACTCTAAACATCTTTTGTTACACTCTAACCATGTTTGGATGCACTCTTATTATGTTTCGACGCACTCTAAACATGTTTGGATGCATTCTAAATATGTTTCGACGAACTCTAAACATCTTTTGTTGCACTATAAACTTGTTTCGACGCATTCTAAACATGTTTGGATACACTCTAAGTATGTTTTGATGCACTCGTTTCGACAAACCCTAAACATCTTTTGTCACACTCTAAACATGCATCGATGCACTCTAAAACATGTTTCGACACACTCTAAACATGTTTCGATACATTGTAAACATGTTAGGATGCACTCTAAACGTGTTTGGACAAACTCTAAACGTGTTTGGACGTACTCTAAACGTGTTTATATGAACTCTAAACGTGTTTCGATGTTCTCTTAGTATATTTTGACGTACTCTAAACATGTTTGGATGCACTAAGTATGTTCGGACGAACTCTAAACATCATTTGTTGCACTCTAAACATGTTTCGACACACTCTAAACATGTTTTGACGCATTCTAAACATGTTAGGATGCACTCTAAACGTGTTTAGATGAACTCTAAACATGTTTCGACGCACTCTAAATATGTTTCGATGCACTCTAAAAATGTTTTAATGCACTCTAAACATGTTTGGATGCACTCTTATTATGTTTCGACGCACTCTAAAAATGTTTCGACGAACTCTAAACATTTTTTGTTGCACTCTAAACATGTTTCGACGCACTCTAAACATGTTTGGCGCACTCTAAAAATGTTTCGATGCACTCTAAACATGTTTGGATGCACTGCAAAAGTGTTTGGACATACTCTAAACATGTTTGGACGCACTCTATACGTGTTTCGATGCTCTTTAAATATATTTCGACGCACTCTAAACATGTTAGGATGCACTCTAAACGTGTTTAGATGAACTCTAAACATGTTTCGACGCACTCTAAATATGTTTCGACGCACTCTAAAACATGTTCGGACGAACTCTAAACATCTTTTGTTGCACTCTAAACATGTTTCGATGCACTCTAAACATGTTTCGACGAACTCTAAACACCTTTTGTTGCACTCTAAACATGTTTCAACGCACTCTAAACATGTTTCAACGCACTCTAAACGTGTTTCGACACACTCTAAATGTATTTGGACGCACTTTAAACACGTTTGGATGCACTCTAAGTATGTTTTGACGCACTCTAAACATGTTTGAATGCACTCTAAATGTGTTTGGACGCACTCTAAACGTGTTTTAGGACACGCAAAATCTGTTTACACGAACTTTAAATGTGTTTCAATGCACTCTAAATATGTTTCGACGCACTCTAAAAATGTTTTAATGTACTCTAAACATATTTGGATGCACTATAAACATGTTTAGAGGAACTCTAAACATGTTTCGACGCACTCTAAACATGTTTTGACGCACTCTAAAAATGTTAGGATGCACTCTAAACATGTTTAGACGAACTCTAAACATGTTTCGACGCACTCTAAATATATTTCGACGCACTCTAAAAATGTTTTAATGCACTCTAAACATATTTGGATGCACTCTTATTATGTTTCGACGCACTCTAAAAATGTTTCGACGAACTCTAAACATCTTTTGTTGCACCCTAAACATGTTTCGACGCACTCTAAATGATGAGGTCATCGACTTAGATGAGCTAAACGAGGAGAAAGCGGAGCAAGGAAACCATGGAACGCACAAAGGAGATGAGGAGCACAAAGGAGCTAAGGAGGAGGACAAGCAAGGAGGGACAACCAATGAACTAGTCTTTCCGATCATTCCCGATCCACCACTCACAAGGGAACAAGCAAGGAGCCTGCGTTCAAGAATCAACAAGTTCGTGGCCAAGACCCTTGAAGACAATCCAAGAACCGAAGAAGCTTGCGGATTAAGCAACAAGAGCCTGCTCGTTTTTGAGCTCTTGTTGTCCAACACCTGAAGACGCCATTAGGGAGCTTGTTGTGGAACACCTGATCAGCATAACAAGCACCTGAAATCATCAAAAGTCTGATCTCAAATCTGCCAACTCATCCTAGCCGTTAGAATCATCATTCAAGGGATTTCTGCAGATTTGGGGACTTTCCCTTAGAAGATGGGAGAATCATCTTCTTGCCATATTCATACTATCAGTTGGAGTTTGATTGCTGCAGAAGAATTCTCTTTCCTTTTAAGTATTTTCCAGCAATTGTTTCCTTTCTTGTTAAACAATCAGCTAGCTATTTTCCTTTTCTTCTCTTCTGCGAATTTGCCTATTTAAACAGGCCCATTTGTCAAGTTTTTACAGATTAGATTACATAATAAAATTTAGAGCATTTTCTTGTTCATCTCTCTCGATTTTGTCTTGAAATTATCAAGCAAACCCGAGTCTTCGAGCTAGTGTTTGGATAAGATTCTCAATTTCATTAGCCGAAACCTTTGTGACGAGATCAAAGAGTCTGTCATCCCTCCTTGTGGTGTCATCTATCCATCGTAATTTTCATCCTCTTTGAAGTGAAATATGAGTGCTCATAAGCCTAGAACACTTCTCCATCACTATCCCTTGGAATCGTTTGGTGAGAAGCCCATAAGCCTACCGAATCTCCAATCTATCCCGACCCTTGCTCCATTGGACAACCGTGCGTGTATCA